TTCCTTCCTTCCTTCCTTCCTTCCTTCCTTCCTTCCCCTTCCTTTCCCTCTTTTCCCTTCCTTTTTCCCTTACCCTTCCCTCTTCTCCCAGTTTTTCTCTCCTGGTCCCCTTTCCTCACAAGTTGTATAGTTCATTTTCCACATAATGTCTAGTGAGTATCAGCTGCATTTGCTCACCCTTTGTCCCACCATTTTTGTGCTCCCCCTGACTCTCACCAAAACTGATAATCTTACATGAAAGATGAAAGGTACAGTGACAAAGGAGCAAAACAAAAAGCAAAACAACAAAACCTCTTTGTTTCCATTTCTTGGAGAGTTCATTTCAATAAACATCATTTTATATGAGCATATGCACATAGCAATTGAGCCTTTGTGATCCTCTCCTGAGAACATTCTCCTTTGGTCTCACAGTGTGAATGTTTAGAGTGGAAAAAAATATAGGTGCCTAGATGACATTTCAAGCAAGGCTTTACTGTTGATTTTTAATTGTTTAGTAATGATTAATTTTAAAGTAAATTTAAGATTTTAAAAATACTTTTGTATTTATAGCTTTAAATAATATAATGAATAAAAATCTATTTTTCCTTACTGGCAATTTTGAGAGTCAACAACCAAATAATTGTATATGTAAAGTTAAATGAAGTTTCTTTTTCAAACTGTAGAAGTCTTTCCACTATTCTATTTCTATTAATAATGTCATAAACATACATTGTGGCTACTTAATAAATATTAGTTAGATAAGTTTGCTTATGTAGTATGTCTCCAATCCAGCATTTTTTTCTTCCATTTTCATTGCTGTGATGGTAGGTGAGGTAAGATTTTTTGCCATCTCTTTGATGGACTGTAGTTTTTTCCCCCTTTTTATCTGTCTCTGTTTCTAGGTTCTTTTTACACATTCTCTCTTGAGTAAACTTTATGAAGCAGTTCAATTCATGTCTTAAATGCTTATGATTTTCTGTTAACTCATTAAATAAAGCCCATATTCTAGAGTGGGACATTCAACATTTTTTTCTAAGCTCACCTTTATTAATTCTGATTTAATGTATCCTTTTTATTTCTTAGTGCCCCTGCCAAGTTGAATTGATTGTGGTTACCCTAATCTTCTATGCATGCCTATTTCTGGGCCTTCAATTCTTCATTTCTACTCCATATTTTTAACATGTACACAAGTTCCTTATAGTTGCAAGTTGGGCTTAAGTTTATGTCTTTTGTAGTTTTCCATAGTACCAAGAACGATGCCTTGCATATATGAGAAATCTATTGAAATATATGCTAAATAGAAAAATGATTTATGTTACTATATTTATTACTATAATCTATTAGGTTATATACATTTTATGTGTCAAATAGCATGATCTCATTATGTTTATCTTCTTCAGGAAACATATTTGGGAAACCAGAAGGAGAAGATGCCTTTACATTTTCTTTTCCATCAGACACTTCAACTCATACATTTGGAGCTGGAAAAGATGACTTTAGTTTTCCATTTTCTTTTGAAAAAAGTCAAAACACACAACCTTCCTCTTCAAAAGACTTTTCACCTTCCTCACAAAATTCAACACAATTTACATTTTTTTGAACTAGTTACTAATTTTTAAATTATTTTATTGCTCTATAATCATCTAGAGTATAACTTTACATTAATACTGAAAACAAAGATATTTTTGTTGATTAAAATAATGAGTTAATTTCTGTAGTTACATGAATTTGAGTATTTAAATATTCAAATATTGAAATTTTACTTTTATTTTTGGCATTAGCTAATCATTTATTTTCATTTTGACTTTAGATGCCATATTCAGGCAGAACTTTCATTAATCTTAATAGAATTCAATACTTTCCCCATTAAATATTAAGCCTGCTTCTCCTAAGAACATAAGTTCTATTCTTGAATTATTTCAGTTTTGTTGATAAGAGCATAAATTCAGACTATCAGAAAGACTGTTTGATGATAACTGTGTAGTACAGGGCTCAGGAATATTTCATCAGCCAAAAAAGACTAAAAGTCACTAGGATCCAGGTGTTTGTGGCTCACACCTGTGATCCTAGCTACTCATGAGGCTGACATATGAGGACTGCATTTCAAAGCCAACCTGGATAGGAAAGTTTGTGAGATTCTTATCTCCAATTAACCACCAAAAAGCCAAAAGTGGAGCTGTGGCTTATGTCGTAGAGTTCTAGCCTTGAGCATGAAAGCCCAGAACAGCATTCAGCCCCTGAGTTCAAGCCCTAGGACAAGCACACACACGTACACGTGTACACACGCACACACACACACACACACACACACACACCACTAGAGCTCACTCATACTTCATTATTGCAGCATGCATGATAGTATTATAATTTCAAAATTAAAATATTGATAGTTAAGTCTGTCCATATTTTCTTCAAAACACAACAAATGGCAAAATTCTAATTTTACTTTTACTAGTTATGTTAGAATCTTTTATGAAATCAAAGGTGAAAGACTAATTTTAATATATATTTTGTATTGTAAAGATACTGTACAAAGGGGGTTACAGTTACATGACTAAGGTAATGAGTACATTTCCTATGGAGCATTGTTACCCCCTCCTTTGTTTTTCCCCTACCATCCCTTCCCTACCCACCTCCCCAACTTCTCCCTCTCCATCCCCCAAAGCTGTAAATACAGTTCATTTTCAATATGGTGTCTTGTACATCTCATTGTTACAATGGCTGAAAGACTTAATGTTTGAAAATTTTTCAGTAGTACTTTTTTTTTTGGTAAAATCTATTTTGAATAACACTTAAGATTTTGATTCCTATCTTCAACAAGAAACATTGCATATTGTTATTTTTAGTATTGACACATTTATATATTCAGTTTAATTATATGTAGCTTGTTAATATCTTAAATTTTAATAAAATCATAAATATTTTTCAGTATCTGTATTTTAGTTGTACTGATTTATCAAGCAATAAAAATGACTTCATATTTTGATGTATAAGTACTTTTAAAAAATCTCATTGTTTCTACTTATCCTCTGCTTCTTATCTGGTCAAGAAAGCCTGGGTCCTCTTTTAGTTGAGTGCTTGCAGGAAATTCAAACCATGTGGGACAATCCTGACCCCTTAGCCAGTGTAAAAACCCAAATACAGACCAGGCTTCAGTGGCCCATGCCTATAATCCTAGCTACTCATGAAATCTGCTTAAAGCCAGCCTGGGCAGGAAAGTCTGTGAGACTCTTATCTCCAATAAACCACCAAAAAACTGGAAGTGGCGCTGTGGCTCAAGTGGTAGAGCACTAGCCTTGAGCTGAAGAGCTAAGGAAAAAATGCCCAGGCCCAGAGTTCAAACCCCCCCGCTGAACGACAAAAAAAAATCCATTCACCATTTTCTTGATTTCTTAAGCCATTTTCATGCCAGTTTAGGAGACTTGCTTTCCTTTCCCCTAGAAAACCTTGTTACATGAGTATGAAATTATTTTGTCATATATTTTGGTGTGTCTGTTTTGTGCATGTCCCTTATAAGTCTGAATATACAAACCAATTCTGGATGAGAATCTATGCTGCTTTTTCAGAGTATCTACAATGTATTAGAATTGTATAAAATTAAGCTTTTTCCAAAGGCTTTAAGAAGATTGATCTAATTGACAGGATTTCAGACATATTTAGACTTTTAAAACATTTAATAACTGTGTAAAAATGACAATTCAAGTCAAAAAGCTTTCATAACAGGTATTTTATGACCCCATGACTAAATTAATTGGTAGTTTTGATGTATCAAAGAGACTCAAGCGGGAAGCTGGTGGCTCATACCTGTAATCCTAGCTACTAAGAAGGTTGAGATCTGAGGATCACTATTTGAATCCAGTCTGTGTGAAGCTAGTCTGGGCAGGAAAGTTCATGAGACTCTTACCTCCAATTAAGCACCAGAAGACCAGAAGTGGTGTTGTGGCTTAAGTGCTAGAGTTCTAACCTTGAGCTAAAGGAGCCCAGTGATATCACCCAGGCCAAGAGTTCAAGCCCAAGATCAGCAAAAAAAAAAAAAAAAGACTGAGAAAGGAGTAAAAATTGTAATTGATTGGTTATTTAAGATTTGAAATTGGTTTCAGCTTTTAGTATCCCAATAATTACATGATTTTTGTACTTTAGGATTTAAACTTACCATATATCAATAAATGAAAATATTTAAGTATCTACAGTGGCTGAGCATGGTTGTTCAGCATCTGTATTTCTAGCTACTCAGGAAGCTGAGATCAGGAAGATCACAGTTGAGACCAGCCTTGGCAAGAAGTTCCCAAAACCACAACCCACCCAATAAAATACAAAGCATGGTGATATGTGTCTGTCATGTGCTATCTGGTGTATGCCAGTCCTAGCAAATATAGGACCCAATTTGAAAAATAATAAAAGGATAAAGTACTGGAGGCATAGCTCAGGTGGTAGAGTGCTTGCCTAGCAAGTATAAAAGGTCCTGAGCTAAAATCCCAGTACTGTCAAAAATGAAGATTTATGTATGGTATCTTGACAACATATAAAAGGTCTCAATGTAGTATTATACTTAGGGAACTTAGAACTAGAATGAGGGGACAAAACTTAGGAAGCAAAATATCCATTACAATAAAATAGTTATAATTGTTTCTATGGGTAATAACTTGATCTGAGATTGACAAGACACCAGTTGCTTCAACAAATAGAAAAAGAAAGGTCATTATAAACTGGAAAGGCTTAGAAGTCACTGAACAGGAAAATTTTTAATGAAGACATTTTAAAGGTATGGAGACTGTAAAATTCTTGATGATAAGATGGATGTGTTTTTTGCACCTTTTTTTGGCTCTGAGGAATGAATGCAGGGCCTCAACTATACTAAAAGCCTGCTTTACCATTGAGCTACACACCTAATCCTGAGTTGATGCCTTTTCAGCTTTACAATTTTTGTTGCCAAACTCTTAATGGCTGATGTTCAATATAATTTTATAAAATACTTCTGAATAGGATTGAGTTGGTAAACAGAGTCTTCCAGATAAGCTTTTTGGATAGGAAAAAAGGACTAAGATTAAGTAGACAACACAATCAGGTGAAAGAAATTCAACCACAGCTTTTGTTTTAAGAGCCAGTATTTTAAAACAGTGAAGGAACCTTCAGGGAAATGGAACATGTAGTATGCATGTGTGCTTGCATCCAGTAACCAGTAAGATTGATGTTAAATAAGAGGCCAGGATTGTAACAGTAGCAAGATTGACATCTGTATAACAGACAGTGGGCAGGAAATTCAGCCAGTAGAAATTGATGAGGTCAGGATTGTGAAAGTAGCAAGATTGACATCTGTATAGCAAGACAGTGGGCCAGAAATTCAGCCAGTAGAAATTGATGTTGCACTCAATTGCAAAGTCCACAGCAGAGATAATCAGACTGGCAACTGTTAGACTCTTGGGAAGAATTTTCTCTTTGAGAAAACTTAGATTTTCCCCTGAAAGCCTTCAGCTGACTGGATCAGGCCCACCTACATTATGGACATTAATTTTCTTTATGCAAAGTGTACTGATCAAATATGTCAATCAAGAACAGCATTGCAGCACTCCTTCAGTCCCAGCCTGTTAAGTGACAGAAGCTATAGGACCACTTAAATTTCTTGAGGATGTGTGTGTGTGTGTGTGTGTGTGTGTGTGTGTGTGTGTGATGGGGCCTGAACTCTGGCCCTGGGCACTGTCCCTGAGCTCTTTAGCTCAAGGCTAGTGCTCTACCGCTTTAGCCACAGCACCACTTCCTATAGGACCACTTAAACAAGCCAGCCTCATAAAGGGTAACATTCACTGATCCAGGAATTAGGTTGGTTGGATATCTTTAAGGAGGGCATTTTTATCTATGTCAAAATAAAGATTTTCAAAGTGACTTAGCCTTGAAAGTATCATTATGTCACCCACTTACTTAGATTCAGCTGTGGTCTTCTACATTCCATCTTTTTGATCTGAATTCTTGCTTGGTTTTTAAATGTATATATGTACATATGTAATATATGCATATATGTATATATGATATCTACAAATATATGTATATATGTGTATATATATGATACATATATATGTATATATATGGTTAAATTTCTTCCTTGTAATATGAGTTCCATGGGCTCTGACAAAGTTGTATGTCTATCATACCATACCAGTTATATTACTCCCAAGTGTTCCAGCACGTTGAACCCTTGAGTGAAGCCTTTCCCTACTTCCAAATCATGGAAATTTACAGATTTGTTTTCTGCCTCTACAGTTTTGTCTTTTCCAGAATGCCACAGAAATGGAAACATATGATATGTAACCTCTGACATCTGGCTGCTTTTATGTAGCAAAACAATTTAGGCATTATATGTTGATGCATGAATAATAGACTATTCCTTTTCATTAATAAGTAGTCCACTGTGATGTATAAGCAAACTGTTGTTATAGCCAACCTGTCAATCTATTGATGGAAAAAAACAAATGGCATTTTGTGATTCTAAGTAATGCCGCCATAAACATTCACATACAGGATTTTGTGTGCCTATGAATGGCTTAGTCTGTTAATAACAAGACATCATAAACTAGGTAGCGTGTAAACAGTAGGTAATTGTTTCTC